TGCAAAACGATTGATCTGACAAAATTCCTCAAGGAATCAAATTATTGGAAAATTGCTAGTATTTTATAAAAATCACTTTTTTCTGAAAACGCCAGTGGTGTAGGAAATGTTCACTAGTAGTGGTCCAGGTACCCCAGTTTCTACGTCTGCGGTTCAGTTTGGACCAGGAAACTTTCAGTGTTTATTGTTCCGAACGTCTAAAATCCTAACTCTAACTCCTAACTTATAGGAATATTTTTTTGTTATTTTTGGATGTACTTTCTGGTTTAGAAATATTGGCGGTAAGATTATACTTTAGCGCATATCGCAAATACTTCAATTCTTATTTTAAAATGGAATACTAGAATGTAACTTTCTTGAAAATATCATTGATTCTTCAAGGAATCCTTTTGCTTGATATTTTATAGAACTTCAAAGTTGCATTTTTGATGGTACTACCCTAGAATAGCACTTTTTTATACCTTGTTTTTTTTGCTTTTTGCACAATAGGATGCTCTAAATCAGGGCTGTCCAACTTAATGTGGCCCAAGGACCACTTCAAAAAAAATGCAGTTTGGAGGGCCGCATTATAAAATCTTTCTATACAACATTATTACAGAGTTAATGTAAGAATTGTGAATATTCGGTATTTGAGAGTAATTTATACATGTTTGTGATGTATACATGACCCCTATGTTGGACAGCCCTGCTCTAAATTATAAGAATATGACATGCACTGTATAGTACTAAGGAAAGTAGATGTAATACCGTAAAGAATCGTTGTTTTTTGCAAAAAAAGTTCAAAACTAACCGTGTTATTACACAATAACTTATTAGCTAAAATAACAGTTCAAAATTGATACGTAAATGATAGTATTTACTTGGTAAACTGTATAGAGGTGTTGTGTTGTGATGTTTCAACGTCTTCTTGAAATTCCTTAACTATTTTTTTTTGCGTCTTTTCAATGACATATCAAAGCTTTTGCGTTTATAAGAATCATTTGAAAGTACAAACAATTCTCAATTGCCATTTTATAATGCCTATTTATTGACAGATAAGATAAATGATGTCCATTGTTGCCAGGTTGTATTATTTTTGGAGAAACGCTAAACAAAGAAATGTGGTTATTTGCAAAATAAAAGTCCTAATTTGTTTTAAATGGCTTGTTGTATGAAAATTTGTCCAATATTTACTGAAAACTAGATGAAATTTTGAATAGTATGTGTCTAAACAGTGGAAAATGCACCAGCGACTCGCGTGACAAAAAATACAAAAGGCTCCAGCGGTCCTTTCATATAAAAATATCCAACTTCGATTAGTCGCCAGGTCCACCCAACATATGATCGTCCACCAGTATATATAGTAAAATAGTTCCATCAAATCATCAAAGAACATGCAATGTTCTTCTTTGTTATGCTTTCATTATTTAGTGACTGGCAGACATTACTTTTTCGGTAATTTCTCATATATATCGCATTAAATTTTGTATATTTTGTGATATCAGATTCACTTTAAATAGTTCTTCAAGTACATACTTATAAAAAGTAAATAGATTATAGCTATAATATAGAAAAAACAATAATCGAAGTTTTTTTGTGAAGGGCATTCTTCAGAAAAGTGTCTTTATATAATAATAATATTTTTTTTATTCGCCAAAATAAAAAAATGGGCAAATAAATATGAAAAAACCACAGAAGGCATCGCCTTAATAACTAACAATCAATCATATATGTGTATAACAATTATTGTTAAATCTAAAAAGTATTAATGTAATTGGAATTTTATAGTTTTAGTTTTCTATATAATTATGTATAGTCATTCGCTGCACAGTACTAACCCAGTCTTTCAATTTTCTTCTAATTTTTTTTCCAAAATTAAGTATTTTTATTTCGTTTGGTACTACATTATATAATTTAGCTGCTAAGAATTTAAATGATTTTTTGAATAATGTTTTGTGTGGTCTTTGGATATTAGATGAGCCTATTCGAAATCGTGTGTTATGCTCGTGTTTATAGGATTTTTTCTTTTTATTACAATACTTATGGTATCAGGTGGTGGCATGTAAGAAATTAAGTTGTCTTGTATCAAGTATCCCTGTTTCTTGATATAAGTTGTTCGTTGGATATAATCTTGGCTTATGGAAAATGGCTTTCAAATTTCAAAACAGTTTTTTGTGCTATATTCAGGTCAGAAATATATGTCTTGCAGGCGGCACCCCAGGCTGTGATGCCGTATATTATATGGGTTTCAACTAAGGCATGGTATAGGATTCGCAGATAACTTTCTGTAAGAATGTTAGCAAACATTTTGAGTTTATAGGCAACATTTCTAATTTTTTTGATAACGTATTCAATATGGTTATCCCACCTTAGATGTGAGTCCATAAATATTCCAAGATATTTCAAAGTATTAACTCTATCGATTTTGGTCTTTTGGCCATGATAATTAACGGAAATTTGTTCGAAGGTAGGTAAAAATTTTGAATAGGATGTAAATGCAATAAATTTTGTTTTTTTGAAGTTAACTGTTAAAATTTTAGTATCAAACCAGTCAATGATCCTTATAAAATCCTTTTCAATTTCAGTGTGATCCAGTCATCAGCTTTATATAATACGAGGGTGTCATCTGCAAAACATATAATCTTTCCAGAACTGTTAATTTTGAATAAGTCATTTAAGTAGAGACTAAATAATAGTGGGCCTAGTACTGTTCCTTGAGGCACACCACACTTGATGTTCATTTTTTTACTGTAATTGTTAGTGATCTGACAGTCTGTGCCCGACTTGAAAGGTCATTTTTTTAAAGGATCGTAAAACACGATGTAAATTTAGTACATTTCATAGCAATCCTGTGCCGATTGCACATTTTTGCGCTAGTTGTATAAGTAAGAATTTGACAAACCAAATCAAGGTATATTACTATCCATGATTTGGCAACATCGCAACCAGATAGAGAAATCATGATAGTGATGGTGGTGTAGTGATGGAAATATTTTTTTTTATAACAATATATTACAAAAATAGAGTATTACAAAATATATTAACATTCAATTCTCTAAACAGTGCTTCAAAAACACTGGCATCGAGAATAACAACATTCTAAATGTGCTTACCTCTAATTACAATATTCAACAATATTTAACTACAACTACAATGTGTTATTTGCTGCTAATATGATCTATTAATTTCTTTGCAAAACAGTTAAAGCTATTGTTACTGCTTTTTATGCTATTTGGCAATTTATTGTATACATTTGATGCTTGCGATTTGGGATTATTCAAACCTATGACAGTACTAACATTATACATGTAGATATACATATGTGTTCTAGTATTATATTTATGTAAGTCATTTGTAAATTGAATCTCAGTATTGCCTTTTTGGGCTTTAGTAATCACTGTATGAATAAATTTACATTGTTCTAGCTCAAGAAGCTGATTTAAGTTAAAGATGTTCAATTCCTTGTACAGCTCAGCTGAAATAAAATAAATGACTATTTAAAAATGATCTATTTTCATCATTAAAATAATGCAAAATTGCATTACTGCGATGAACAGTGTCACAGTAATATACAGTGTATGTTATATTCAAATAATTTTGAGCAACCTTTTGTGTACGCAAGAAAAAAACAGCTTATAAAGCAGTATTGTATACGAACCATTTTACACACAAGAGAATTAATCCGAAAATTATAGTCATAATTATGCCGAAAATTTGCATGGAAAAAATATGAAGATTTTCTCTACATCCTGTATGACACAAGCAAACAAATGTCCGAGTAATTCATATGATACGCCTGCGCATTAGCGTAATATTTTCGAATGGACAAAACCTTAACGGGTATGACGTCCAAAATAATCGCAAAGAAAACATACGTCGTTGATTTAACTTTGTTTTTGAAATCGAGATCTTGGTTAATATTATAAAACTTCTCAATGCTTGGACTATCGCATCCAGCGCCTAATGCCGCAAATTTCTGTTTTTGTAATTAGGTGACTTTATCTTGTATAGGTGTGGCCATTTTTGGTGTTCCTCCAACAACAGTGTAACTTCTTCCCGATTCCACGACATTATAAATAAATAATAACAATAAACGCTTCTTCTTACGACTCGAACTGGACCACACCCACAAATGTTAAGTGAGGTTATGTTGTTGTCGTTGACATGCACGGAAATAACCCTCTCTGCGCCGATTCTCGCGCATATTCTATAGAACTGGTTTTATATTTTTACCATGAAAATTTTCACAAGAATTCTTTTAGGTGTAATACGACAGCAATTATAACCATAATTTTCGGAGTAATTCTCTTGTGTGTAAAACGGCTCTACCACAGTATTACCACCCAAAATGCAACTTTGAAGTTCTGTAAAATAGCAAGCAGGGGGTTCCTTAAAGAAAAAATGATATTTGAAATGAAATGAAATGAAATGAAATGAAATGAAATGACATGAAATGTTTATTATTCTTAGCCCTAAAGCTACTTCCTATAGTTTATAATAGTGTCTTACTCCAGCAATAGACAAAAAAACAGTAATTCTAGATTCCCTTAAAATCATAGTAACTGCAACCACAGTAAATTCAACAATAGCAAATGCGAGATAATGACATACAGTTATCTTAACACAGAAAGTACATATATTATGCCATTTTATCTAGATACAATTGCTTAACCTTACGAATAAATATATTTACGTACAAGTTACATCCCAATCTTTCATTTTTGAAATAAGAAACGCGATATGCGCTAAAGTATAGTTTATATTGGCATGTCTGTATATAGCCTTCACGCTATTTGAAGATCAAAGCGACGGAAGGTAGATAACTAAACCGAAGTCACCCACTTTGATGATTGTTCAGAAAACCGTCAAGCGAGCACTCTCACTCCCCCAAACGACTAAAAAGCTGACACACATGGTGACACGAGTTGATCCCTCCCGCCTCCCGGCGTAGTTCGCGACACCGCCGACGCGACGACCATCCTCCTCCCTCCCCCCACCAAAACCCAAACCCAAATCCCCACTCCGCGCCCGGCACGGCTCCCTAGCGTCGCGCCTCGTTCAGTGCGTCTTCGGATCGGTTGGGATACTGCTGTGCGCGGTCCGTTGCTTGCTACCTGCTATCTTGCTAGACCTCTACTTATGTCACGACATACGCACGCACGGTCAGTGAGTGGTTAGTGTGCTCGCTGTCTCTTTCTGTTGGGATGCCAAGTGCGATGAGTCGGACGCCGGTCGCGTTGCAAAGTCGCCGGGTCCCAGCGACAGATGGTGGAAAGGACCGTCGTCCGCCGGAAGGAATATATAATATGAGGTGAGTTTTTTTTCTGTAATGTTCAAGAATTCGGGGAGAATTAACCTGGTGTGTTCGTGTGAGTTTCAACGCTCCCCCGTCGGACGAGGATACGGGGCTCCTTCAGCCGTGGATCCGGCCCCAGTTCCCCATCATCTATCCCTATTTAAAATGTGGGTATGTCGGTAGTTCTTTCATAACTCATTGTTTTTTGAGGCATACACAAAAAAAAGGAAATAAAAAGGAATACGTCTTGAATAAGAGGAGTATAGAGCGTTTTTTTAAACGAAGTAGGTATTCTACATTCTTTGATTTCTTTCGAACAACAGGTAAATGTAAGGGTGAAAAAGCGCTGTAGAGCACTCCTTATTGATTTTTGTCCCATCACTGTATTTCCAAACGTCACGTCAAAAGATAGGTAGAGGTATTTTATGCCTTCTTTTACAGAGGCTCTATGATCTGATGTCTGGAGCTTTGGACAGGGGCGTAGCTAACGCCGAATTAATGATGAGTGTTTTTCAAAATCTCACGCAAGTTTTTTCCTCGCGCTAAATTAAAAATTCTCAAGCGCCAAACCTAAGATTATATGGCTAGGTTGTCTAGGTATAATAGCATGCTTCCTATTTTTAACTCCATTAGAACTGCAACAGCTGAGAGAAGCTTTTCGAAATTAAAATATCTTAGAACTTCTACGAGGCACTTTTGACTATCAAGCATGTTACCACTGACTTCTACGACTGGAAATTTTGAAACACTAAAATTGTGTTCCGCTATGGATGGTTAAATAAAATTTTTTCCGTAACAGTGGCAAGGAGATCGACTCAGTACTTGCCAAGTATTCACCTAAGCGTATCGTCATATACAGTGTAATATGTAAAGGGTGGGCTATACGTTGGTTTCTTATTTAAATTGGTATTAAAACTACACTCGTCAATAATATGTAACACCCGATACTTTATTCAAAAGATCTTGTGAAAAACAATTTCAGTTAAATGGCTGCCGCGGCTGGCCTTGCAGTAGTCCATCCTCTTAACCAAAAATGGGGACCAATAATCCCACCTCTCCAAAAGCCACATCAAACAGTTACTTTTTTTGGATGCATTGGTTTTTCTATGACGACATGTGGATTTTCAGAACCCCAAATCCTACAGTTCTGCTTGTTAACGTAACATTCCAGATGGAAATGGGCTTCGTCCGAAAAGATGATTTGGCGACCAAAATTGACGTCCGTTTACAATTGTCCTCACGGAGAAACGATATCGAAGCGGATGGTCATTTTGTTTCAACCATTACACAAGTTGCACCTTGTAAGGACATAATCCAGGGTCGTTATGCAATATATTCTCCGCACAGAAGTGCGAATGATGCCCACTTGTGCTCTCTGGCTAGTTGACATTCTTGCGTTTCCACGCAAACTCTGGGCAATAGCAGTAATGTTTTGGGCTGGACCTACGGGTCCAACACCCTCATACCTTCTATTATTCACAAGCAGGCCAGTTTCACGAACCTACCAGTCGCGGACGGAGTTTCATTCCGACCAAATAGTATTCTCAATTTTTACGAAGTTTCTGCAACAAAGCACCCACTTTGAGAATAGTTTTTCAATATTTCCCAACTTTGTTCAAGATTAAAACAATCCACTGCTCACAGCGGAAGATTCACACAATATATCTATCAATATGCTGGGCATGGAAGTGTTAACAACTGTCAAAATAATACCAACTTAAAAAAAGTACTGATAGCCTACTCTTTATGTCGCTAAATAAACAAAATGCTTGAGCTCCATAATGTTTTTGAATATGCCCTGACCTGAATGAAGCAGTCAGAAATGATGAAACGATTTTTAAAAATTGTCTCTTCACAAATATTTTTAATTTTTTTAAAATGCCTAGAAAGTTATAAATTATGCAACAATAAACTTTGGGACAATGTAAGAGCTATTGTAATTTTTACTCTTAGCATTATTAAACTATTTTCAAGAATGGAGTAGCAACACCTACTTTTATGACCCCACGTGGATTTACTTGTTGTAGACATCGCAAAACATTTATTTGAATTCATAAAATTTTCGCGTTCACAGTACTGATACGGATCGGTCTTCAAAAAGTTTTGACGGTACACTTTTACAGAAAGTTATCTCTTGCTGATGATCCACCCCCTCTGAATGGGAAAACTTCCTACGGGCCTACATGATCAATACGTGAAAATTCATATGCAAGCCTTTATGTTTTTTTTTGTAAAAATCTATACTTCAAATTTTACAATCCATTTGGGATTCGCCAAAGTTGTCGGGGCCCCCCACATTGATATGGGGTCCCTGAGGAACAAGCTACGCGTCTTTTTTAAGTGAAGCGTTAAACCTTTCATTTTTTGATTTCTGTGACTACACTTTAGCGTACTTTCAGAAAAACTTAAGAAATCATTAGAAATGCGGAAAATAGATGTGAGATTGTATATAAAAGATCTTTGTGCACTCTTTCGTCTTGATTTTGTATTTTGTTCCATCGCTGTATCCCCAAAGGTCACCTCAAATGATTGGTAAATGTATTTTATGCTCTCTTTTACCGATGGTCTATGATTAATCTATAAACTTGTTCAAAAAACGGTTTGTGAACTAGTATAAGTTTATAGATGTTATGTCTTGGAATCGTAATCATCGAAATATATTGGCGTCAAAATTTAAAAAAAGGCAGTAAATGGATCTTATTGCCTTTTACCTAAGTATAACTAATAGGGCAGACGTAAAAGCTTTGTAGCTTTTATAAATTTGTCCATTAGCGACGAACTAATGGTTAAAAAAAGCAAAAGGTCAAATGCTTCCAGAAAATAGTTGTAGACTGTATAAGTTGTGCGCCGTGGTGCTAGAGCCCTGATCACCCTGTGTTGGCTACCCAAAAAACAGGTGGCGGAGATTTTGACACAGGCTGTCAAGGATGTAAGAGAAGGTGGCAGATAATTCTCCCTGAGAGATCTTATAAGCTAAGCGAGGTCTAAGAAGGACTTAATATAGACATAATAACCCATAGTCCAATTGGCATTGAGACAGGGGGCCCCAAGGTTAGAAGCTAGGATTTAATGATTTCCTGTCCCTGGTACCAGGTATTTATCCACTTTTTCATCTGGCTGCTCCAGGGCACTTACCGACTCGATCGAATTTTTATTATTAGGAGAAAAAACTTTCTGGGGCCTTAAAAATGATTGAGGTACGGATGAACCTCAAAGTCGCAGCTTTTATGATTTCTTTTTCGTGATAAATTGTATTGCTTTGACTAAAAAATACTACCACAGAAGATCTTAGGGCCGTATCGTCAGTCGTTCCTGCAATTGTAGGTCGCCTTTATGGCCTCCTTGATTTTCATAGTTTTCTACCCTTCAGTGTTAACTCCATGTTTTGAGGTTAAGTTACAAATATCTTTTTGCATCAAATTGTTCATGCTTTTGGTTTATATCATCTGTTATATAGCCTAAAATTTCCTACAATTCAAGAAGAAAACATAGCCTGAAAATAGGAGAGCGCTGACGCTGATACGTAACAGTAGAAATCTAGAAATATCCCAGCCTTTCTGATGGAGAGGAAATACTATGAAAATTAATAATAATAGTCCTACAATTTATTGTAGGACGCTAAGTTTAAATGTTTCGCTGTGCCGTAAAATAACCAGAAAGAAAGTGTGTAATTAGTCTACCAGATTTCTTTTTTGTCTACAATGTCCTCTCCCTTGAGTGGCAGCGTACGGGTAGCCGCTAGTGCTTTTGAGGTTATGTGGGGCTGTGCAGTTCGAGGTTCTATCCGATTTTCACTATATACAACAAAAATAAAGACTATTTTATTAAATGCCACATAATAGGTGTATTGAGGTATATATATTTATATTACATGTTAGGTTTGAAATATCTACTGAGCAGCTCAAAATGATGACTGTCTTCATCAAAACTTGAACACAACTATTAAAAAAATTCCAAACCTAGGAATTACGTAGTCATCCGTATCTCAATTGCTCAAACTTTTTTGACGCTTTAAGGAGCTCCTAGTCATTTTTTCGCAATTTTTGCGGTAGTATATTCATACGTAACCATCCCGCTATATACACCCACCTATTTGTTACATATGCATCATATATTTTCTCTCAAAGCTTGCAGAAATATCATACGGATTGCCGCCTAATCTCTCATCGCACACTGCTCGAGCTGGTCAACATTCGATGGAACTTTTAAAATTAATGCATAAAGTCTATATAAACATGTGTCGAAAAATGCGTGGCTTCCGAAATACAGGGTGTCTAAATTTACTTTCTAAAATAGTTTTCTTTAAATATTTCGGACGTCTATGGTCATTTCTAAGAACACGGTGAACATGGCTTGCTGAAATTCCCAAGGCACCAGAAACTCTCCTAACACTTGTGGTCGGATCTTTATCAAACTCACGCAGAATCAAACGGGTAAATCTGCGCTGACGAACATTTGTTTTGATCCCTTTGGATATTTCCAAAACCATTTTCAATTATTTGGCGATGCACTCTTACAAATACTGAGCGAGTTGGATGTCGTCTGTTTGGAAATCTTCGTGCGTATTCTCTGGCTGCTTCTGCTGCGTTTCCATTCACAAAGCCATACACAAAATGAATATCCGCTAACTCTTGATTGGAGAATAAAAATGGCATTTTTATAAAACTTACAAAAAAAAAACAGGTAAAAGAAACTAAATTTCGTGCATTCCCAATTGCAAAAAAACGTTTCAGGTTTCAACAGACAACAAAACTAACTGTCAACTAATTGACGTTTAACCTTATTCTACTTTCATTTTCAAAAATATTTGCAGGCACAGCCTACTTCTAAAAATTATCGAGATACTGACTTTTTAACGTTATTTTATCATAAATAATTAAAAATGCATCGAACCTTAAAAATCGAAATATCTCAAAAACGGCTAACTATAACGAAAATTCACAAAAGAGCTTTTTTATGTTGAAAAGTGCGAAGAATCAGTTTTTTTATTCAAAAAGCAAAAAATTGCACTAAGT